TAGGTGAGTCTTACTTAATACAAACATCCATAGTCCATCTTCGCTGCTGAACAATATTCCTCGCCACATGGTCCTCGCACGTCGTCTTCTCTCTTTCTAATGCTATAGCAGCACTGCACATACCAAATCCGAAGCATCTACAACACTTACGAGTAGCAATCTCAGTCGACTTGCCAAAAATACGCGTTCTGGTAACGACTTCGCCTTGGTTGACACACTTTCGGTCTGTTCCGATGAGGACGTCATCTTAATCGGGACACCTCACCGGTCAATAAATTCTAAGTCTTCTTCGCGTCTTTCCTCTCGATCTGGTACTCCTCGGGGCGACGAGACACCGCCCACTACACTGACTGGCGATGACTCTTTTTTCTCTTCTGATGGCGAGACCACTCCCATTTTATCTACCCCCGTCAATGGCAAGACTTCTTTTAGCTCTACCTTGGCTCCCACTTATGGACTCGAGGATCTAGACAGTTTAGAAGCGTCCACTGCAAGAGCCAAGTGTCCATCACCTATCACGATATCATTTTCTAAAATGGATGGAACCACTAATAGTTCGCATCATATCGCATATCACCCCGCCAACAAGCCATCAGAATCATTTGAACCCACGCCATTTCACACAACCGCCAGAACTATTGCGGCCAACGGAGTTATCCCAGACGCCGAATCTCTGCATGGCATTATAAGGGGCTTTTTAACCGCAGAGACGAAAGCGAAGAGTATATCTCCCTCCACAACGGAGCCTGGAGAGCCTCCCACATTTACTCCAACGACACCCAACAAGGCAAAGCCATTCTGGGAGCCTCAGCGCATCTTTGAATTCTATATCAAAGGAGCAATCACGCCTGAAAAGGCCAAGGAAACCGCTAAGCGCTATGGCTACCCCGATGCGATTCCCATCATTGATGAGATTGAGGGGTTGAAGAAGACAAACCCTTCTCTCCCTGTGTCTGAAATTATCACCACGGCCGCGAAGGAGGGTAACCTTGGGGGCTTCATCCAACTTCCCGATGTTTCAGCTGTAACGCCTCAGCGAGATCAGTATAACACCACACATGATAAATTCATGCTCAAGTTAGCCACCTGCAGTGCTAAAGATGGTTTAACCGGATCCGCAAAGCCTTTACATATATTTGTGGACATGTCCAACATTCACATTGGGTTCTGCAATTCTTGGAAGATCTCCCAAAATATCCCAGTTGATCACCGAATCCGCGCGCCAGCCTTCAATTTTAAGGTCCTGGCTTCTATTATGGAGCGTAATCGAGTGGTCAAGAAGAAGGTTCTCGCAAGCTCTGTCGCCAGCCATGTCGTTAGCCGGGCGCAGTGGCCTCAGCATTTTATCGATGCTGAACAACAAGGATATAAGACAAGTATCCTCAGTCGAGTGCAAAAGGTCTCGCCCATCAAGGCTGGACGAAGGCGCAAGGCATCTCCACAAGGATCCGGTGTTGCTCACCTCTCTACTACGATCACTAGTGGCGATGAGTCGGCGGAGGAGATGGCGAGGATCAGCTATGAAACCAGAAATGGTGAGCAGGGGGTCGACGAGATCTTACATTTAAACATGATGAACAGCATTTTAGACGATATGCGCGAACCCAGCAGCATGATCCTCGCGACCGGGGACGCCGCTCAGGCAGAGTTTTCAGAAGGTTTCCTCGAATACGCCACTCGTGCCCTTTCCCAAGGCTGGAATTTGGAGCTGGTTACTTGGAAGAGAACCATCTCCTCGGCCTGGATAGACCCTGTTTTTAGAAACAAGTTTGAAGAGCGCTTCCGCATCGTTTACCTGGACGATTTCCTTGAGGAGCTCAACGCGGATCTCTGCCCTTCACTAGCTTGAGGTCGTAGATTGGATGAGGCTGGATCTGTAACAACGAGCCAGCCGCATGGCAGCTAGGGAACTAAATTGTGTTGTGGTAACAAACACACTCTTTCTCTCCCTGGCTGTCTATCCAGACCCTAGCTTTTTGAGATTGGTTGTCTACAACGAAATACCCCTGTGTTGAGCCCGGGCTATTCGTTTTCCGCGTGGCTTTTGCCACCAGCGTGGGACGATCAAACATTGTTTCCAATTTCGTCTCTATCTTATGCATACTATCTGCGCGTGCAGGGCTTACCAGCCGGACATATTCGTTTATGCGCGCGATGGGTCTGTCGATCAGGAATAGGACAAGACTTCAGTTTGACATCTACAACTACGACTACGACTACGACTACCACCGTTTCTCACTCTTTTTGCGCGTGTATTTCGAGACGGTATCTGCACCACTTGCTCTATGTTACGATTTGACGAAATTTCCATGATATCACGATGATGTCTGCGCTTTGTTGGGTGCGTTGACGGTGGAGAGGACGCGATAATCTGGTGACGGATAGATTTCTTTGCTCTCTTGTCAGTACATTCTTGACGGGCCAGTCGGCGACATTGCCTGTCCTTGCATTCATTCTATCTTATTTGGATAGATTTGGAAGGCGAATCACTTGATTCACACAAGATACCCGTCGGCATCATATAGCCGTTCCAGGTGGCAGAGGAAGTTTTGCTTTGGTTTTGCCACCTACATTCCCTATATGTAGTTGCTTACAAGAACAGTGGAGTGAAGACACAAATGGAAGCGTCGGGTTTTGTGTAGGGTCATGCGTGATATATTGCATATTAAGTAGCATAGTTCGAACCTCTTCCGTACTCTTAGATGTCTAGCTCATGCAGCTAGTTCACGCATACAGGGCACTAAATATACGTTGTTTTAAGAACGTTGTTTGCTTGTACCTGATTTACAACATCCCAATCTTACTTCATATCGAACTTGGACGAACTCCAGTCATCTTTCGTGGACAGAGGGCTACATTTAGGCGCCCGAGTGAAGGATGGGTAACTTAACAACATGGTTAGCCGCCTCGGCTGCTATATTACTACTGAATGTAACCGGAATCCCATCGGCTCTGCCTCAGGAAACCTCCGGACTGGCGGAAATTTCTTCAGTCACTGTAAGAGATGATGTTAGCCTTGATCAGACGGAAGCGTCACATCTTGTGTCTACTAGATTCGATACAATAAGTCACATTGGGTCCAACCCGTGGCCGTCCACCGAGACTTTGGCATCTGATAAAATCGCACTGCCGAATCCAGTGGAAAGCTCAGATACACTTGTGATCGTTATAGTGCCCGGTACAACAACTGGATCTGCTATATACAATCCAGCTTCAGGCCTCTGGACATCATCTGTTTCTTTGCTAGCATCCACCTCTGCGGAAACTAGCCAGCCGCCTGTCTTGACCACCACTGCAGAGACTGGATTTCTCTCGTCTGCCTTGACCACCTCTAGCGAGACTAAATTTCCGTTCATCTCTCCGGCGCCGACGCCAACCTCAACAATGACTACTATCCCACCTGGGCTCAGTGTCGCAACCATCACCGGCCAGACCTCATGGGGGTGGGTGACGACAACTCGGAAACACAGCTCCTCCACAGTTTTGCCCGTTGTCGCAGGCAACATGCTATGGGAACTGCCGCCTATACCACATGTTGGATTCAGTTTCCCATCATTGAATCTTCCCAAATTCACTTTACTGTGCATTAGGATCTTATTTATTCAATTAGGCAACTGTAACGATCCTCCTATCCCTGATGGCCTCTCAAGTAGCGAGGGAGATAGGCCGTCGGCTCTATCACGAGATACGCTGTCGCCTTTATTACAATCGCATTCTTCTTTATGCACGGGGATGCAAACAGTCAGTAACTGCGAGGTATCTTGCAGTGTGTTTTTAGTAAACCCTAGCACAAGCGATACTGGATGCTACAATATCGTCTGCTTGACTCTAACGATTTTTTGTATTTTTACTGCGACAATATCGACTACTGTAGTTACGGGAAGTTGCCTAGTCTAGTTGATAGTGCTGCCCTTTTTTGTGGACATGTCCGCTATCCTTTGGGATAGCCCCCCTTAAGCATGTCCTGTCTAATGCCCTGTTTCCAAAGAATGGGAAGCCGATCTAACTAATCCTGACGAATGTACTGACCCCTTTGATGATGGCTCTGGTGATTTTTCCGTTTTTAGAATATATGACTTGATAAAATGGGTTGAAACTGTTACTACTAGCATAAAAGTTCCTAAAGAGAAAGTAGTGTTTACGGTAGAGATGACGCAGGCAAGCTGCTAGGTAACCAATTCGGCTTAAGTGCTAGGTATACTAAAGGCAGTAGCTACCCCCTCTTACTTTTGAGGCATTTGATGCTTTTGTGTGATGTTGCTGGTACTGTTACCGAGTTAAGTAAACTTTTACAATGGCTTAAGATAGCTTCTAATAGTGATTGTATCCGATATAAGCAGCGCGTTGTTTTACTATACTAAAACAGGAGGCCCAAACTAAAAAGCTTTTTCATTAATAAATTCTATATATAATAACTTTTGGCCTCATGTATTGTTTTCGAGCATTATTAATATTAATGCTTGGCTGCTTGCAAACTTTCTAGAGCTCAGTAGTGTCTACTGTTGGATCAGGTGCATTGTGCACATTTCCTGCATCGTCATGACGGAGGTGGATTGAAAGATCAGCTACAAAAATGTGATGCAATGACAGGCTGGCAATGGTGGGACACGGATTCTGGTGGCGAAGCAGTATTCATTCTGCCAATACTCATCAAGGATCATTGCGTTGAACAGTCCATCGCCGCTGCTGGTGGACCTTATATATAATGCCAATGGTATGAATCGGGGTGAGCTTTTGGGAGCCTGCTGTCATGACGGGAGTGCTTGGGCGAGGAAGGCTCTTTGTATATTGAAATCCACCTGGCAATTCAACAGTGGACCAGGGACCAGCCAGCCCCTTGCAGCTTGTTCGGTTTTTTCCCACTCTATAGATTTAAGATGTAGGTAGGTAGGTGGAATAACAGGCATACAGGTCACTAGGATAATAATTGTTCTACAAAGCTGTGGTTAAAACTCTCTTTCCGAATGATAATTGATACACTATGTCTTGCAGGTCGTTGCAACAGCTTGGTGTAATGGTGCACACTGGAGTTATAACATGACGTGTAGAATCTCCGGAGGGGTCGGTTCGATTCCGGCAGCTGTAAGAACTTTGTTTGTTTGTTTGTTTGTTTGTTTTTAAATTTTCCTTGAAAATTTAAGGTTTAAATATCAATTGTGTTCTTGATTTTCTTGTGCAAAAGCTAGCTAAACTTTCTAGGGAACTATAATATATTGATAGCTTAGTTAATATTAAAACATGAATCTAGGTCAGTAATTATTTCCCGGCCAAAAAACTTTATTAGTGTTATAGCACACCTTTCCTTTCGCAAGGTTTCTCTGCTAGTGTATCGACTAGTATTACTTTATTAATAACAAGGCGGCCTCTCTTGTCTTTTATTCGATATAATAACTATGATAAGGTGAGCAGTGGACAATGCTATCCCTAAGCGTTATCGAATTGGAGCTCTTGTCACTTGGCTAACCGCCTGCCACGTTTAGTGTTATGAGTACATCCGATAAACAGCTGATGAGGCAGGCGCTAGAGGAATATTAACCAGCTATTAGATCAGGAGAACAGGCAATCCGTTTTGTCACAATGCTAAAGCGTCGTACATACTAAAGTTATAATACTACCTGCTAACATCGAGTCAAGCACTCCTTTTCTTGCTATTGCTAGTGATCTACGCAATAATAGGACACCGGGATCGTCAAGTAGCTGAACTATGCAGATGTGCAGAAGATTCTTGCATATCCTCGGATTATCTTAGATGATATTCCACGGAGGTGTGGAGCTGCGATCAATCGAAGGAAAGGGACCAGTGCACATTCGAGGGGCGATCACCAGCGGTGTATTTAGATGATGTAAGGTCTAAGTTCTAGTTATAACATAGGAAATAAAACAAGCTGTTTATATATAGGATCTCTCGGAGTAGCATTAATCCGCTCTCGTGGATCACTTGGATCCAATAGGTGCAAATTAAGCTTCCTAGGGCATGCTAACAAAGTACATTAGAATGCCCGCTACATTACTTAAGATTAAGGTTATGATTTACTTAGAGTAATTTACTTTTACTCTTAAAAAACATTTAAGTAAGAGTAATTTTAACTTAGTAAAAATCTAAAGTAAGAGTAAAAGTAAATTATTTAGACTAAAATAAGTAGTTTACTCATTTATTTTAAAAGAATTCCAAAAAAATCGGAAAATAACCCTAGAAAATTAATAAAACCTATGTTTTTTTAGCTTAAGTATTTTTTTTGTATTATTTTTAGTTTATAAGCTAAGTAAAAAAAATTTGTTTTTACTATATATTTTTAATTTTACTGCTTTATTTTTATATATATACTAATTTTTATAGTTTAGTTTTATATAACGCTTAATTTTATAATATATTATTTATAATATATTTATGTTTTTATTTAATTTTGTTTTATGTTTATTTTATTTGCTAGTTTTATTTCTAGTTTAGCTGCTTTTATTATTATTATTATTTCTAATCTTTTTTTTTAATAATATTAATAAATAAAATAAAAAGCTTTTTTCTTATTGTTATATTTGTTTCTTATCTATAAAGTTAACGTTAGGTTTTCTGTTTTATTACTCCGTAATGCAGAAAACCTCTGGCTATGTTAGATATTGTCTATACGATATGTTTCATTCCTTAACACCTACACCTTTCATAGGGGATGTCTTTGCGCGGAAGGCCTGTGAGTGGAGTTCTGGTATGCGAATGACCTGAAAGAGACAGTACGTTGAAATGAATCCGCCCCGGATTTAATGTTGGGCCTCCTGAAGATCTGCCAATGCTGTTGGGCTGCAGACCGGGAGCACCAAGCCAGCAGCGCTGAGAGAAAACGAAGTCAGCCATGTCGATGTTCTAAAGCGGAAGGCAAGGGACAATTACCGAATTGGCTGAGCGCCTAAATCCTTCGCCACGGCCCTGCACAAGGCCATGTATTTCAAACTGTCCAGCCCGTAGTCCTTGAGGTCATAGTCGGGCTCAACACTACAGCCTAGGATCTTAGATGCCTGATGTACAAAGGCCGAGACAACAACTGGGTCTGCAGATTTAGGTGTAGCGGCAGCGGTAGCTGGCGGCTGGGGTATTCGTGGTGCCGCCAGTGTTGTGCGTGACCAGGTAGTGGGAGGAACGGGAATAGTTGTCTGCTTATGGAGCCGGCCATCTGGAAAGCCCAGGATCAAGTGGCTATTAATACTGTTAAGATAAGTGGATACGTATACAAGTGAGCAGAATGTCTTGTGTATTTAGGATTATTAGAAGAAAGAATCAAGAACCAAGGGTCCGGGGGAATCTAGTAATACATATAGTCAGAAAATAGAGTATACTTAATTTCCACATTTTAATATTCCCACTTATTCTAAATTTGTATGTTGCTTTAGTTGTTTAATATAATTATATAAAATATAACTTATAAATATAGATAGCAGATATAGTATTTCGACATTTTTAGAAAATTTTAAATGTATTACTAGATTTTTTTTTTCTATAATTTATAGTAAGTCCTTTTTATAAAAAGCTTTAACGTATTAAAGTTCTAAAAACCTGCTAGTATTTTTAGTATTTTTTTTTTATTTTGTCTGGAGTTCCCAGTACTAGCTGAACCTATAAAAAACCCCTATAAAAAAAAAAGAAATAAATATAGGCTAGTTAGTAATAATATATAAATTATTTAACTAAGCATACATAATTTTTTAGTTTTAAGTTATTAGAGCTTAAATAGAAATAATTTTTTATAGCTACTTATTAATAAATTTATAATATACTATATAATAAACATAAGTTTTAGCTACTAAATATATTATTAATCCTATATTATATTATAAACGTTTGGACTTTTTTAAAAATAAAGTTTAAAAAAATCTATTATTTTTTCTAAAAAATATTTTTAGCACATAATTTAGTTGTTATATTTTAAATAAAGTTATAGTTCTAAAATATTATAGCTTTATTTTTAAATAGGTTAGCTATTATTACTATAATAAAAATATACTATTTTATATCTTTTTATAAATTTTTTATTAATTGTTTAGTTAAAACATAAAAAAAACTTATTTAAGTTTTTTTGCTATTTTTTTAGTAATTATAAAACATACTAAATATGTTCCAAGTATAAACATTAAGCATTATATTATTAACTTTCCAATTTTTTTTTTTTTAAACAATTAAAAAATATTAATGTTAAATAAATATAAAGTATAGCTATAACTATAAAATTATAGTATTATTTTAAATATTTAGCTAATTAATTGTTAGTTAATTCTAAATATATTAGTAGTTCTATAAAAAAACTAACTAAGTTTAATATAAATATATTTCTAATAGCTAGTAATAAAAACTTTTATTTAGTATTGTTTTAAAATAAATAATAATAATAGAATTAAATAGCGCAGTAACTAATAGCTTAATATTAATAAATAAAGTTGTTTTAATAAATTTAAAGTTTTTATAATAATATATAAACAATAAAAAAAAATCTTTTATAGTAATAATTATATAATTATTTTATTATTTTTAATTATAAAGCAGCTTTACTAATATATAAAATGCTTTATTAAAAGTAGTAATAAATATTAATAAGTTTAAAAGTTTTTTAAAATAAAATATTTAAAAAAATAAAAACTTTTAAAAACAAGTTAAATAAGTCCTATATAAATAAATATTTTTATAGCCTTTTAAAGTATAATATTATTAGGTATATAAAGTTTTGCTTAATTTTATTTTTATTTATTTTAAGCTTAAAATATTTTAAAAAACTAAAAACTTATTTTTTAATAATATTTTAGTTAACCTATCCATTACTTATTAATTAATAAAAATATATTAAAGTTTAATATTACTATTAGCTTATTATTTATAAATAAATTTAAGCTAAATAATTATATGTTTAGTATTAGTATAATATAAAAAGTTATTTATTAAAGCAATAATTTTTTAGTTATTTTTATAAATAATTATAATACTTATTTTTTAAGTAATATTTAGCTTTTTTAGTAATAGCTTTAGCTAAATAACTTTTTTAATAGTTTATATTTAACTAATATATTTAGCTTTACAAAAAAATAAAAATATAGTAGCTTATTGCTTAAAACTTTAGCTAAATATTTTGCTGCTAATATAAAAAATATATCCTAAAGTAGACTTATAAATATTTTAGTTACTAATATAGTCTATATTAGTATAACTAACTAAGTTTTAGAATTTTTTATAATATATTAATTTTATATTTGTAGTTTTTTTTAAATATTTAAAAATATAGCTAACCGCTAATCTATAAGCTTTATTAAGCCTTACTATAAATTAACTATATAAAAAAATAACAAATATAATATTAAATTAAGTACTAAGCATAGCATATATTAATAACCCTATAGCACTTATATATTAGGCTTTATTTTTAAGTATAAGTATATAATTTATTAGTAGTAATTCAAAAGCTTTAATTTTTATAAAAATATTTTTAAGTTTTATTTTTTAAAAATCAAAATTTTAAAAAACTTTTTTTATATAGATATTTTACCTAAAATAAATTACTTTATTAAAACAGTTTTTTCTAACAGTTGTTTTTAAGTAATATAAACAAAATCTAAAATCTATTATATTAAACTTATTATATAAAACAAACTTTATTTCGTTAATTTTTTTTATAAAAAAAGCAATAATTAAAAAATTGTTTATATAAATAGTAATATAAGTATGCCTTTTAGCAAACACTTTAATATTAGTATCTAAAAAAATAAAGCTAAATCTTTTTAAAAAAATAGCTAAAATTTTATACTAAATTCTAAATGTTTGCTTTAAGCTATATAAAGCTTTTTATAATTTATATATTTTATTAGTGCTATTTTTAAATTTAATTAATTATTTAATATAAATTTATTTATTTATTTTTTTATAAAAAAACGCTATTTTAATATTTATTTATTTAAACTTAAAATTAAAAGCTATAATAATAATAAAAATTGTTTTATAGTTTATAAGTTTAACTACTAAAGCAAAAGTTTTGTTATAGTTAAAGCTTTCTACTTATTTAAAACTTCTAATTATTTAGCAAGCTTTATAACAAGCAATCAACCTATTTAGTTTAT